GTGTGTGTGTGTGTGTGTGTGTGTGTGTGTGTGTGTGTGTGTGAGAGAGAGAGAGAGAGAGAGAGAGAGAGAGAGAGAGAGAGAGAGAGAGTAATGAACCCGGACTGGAAGATACTCTTCAAACGCCGAAATGCAAGACAACTCACATTTGGACAATGTCCCCAATGATCTTGAATGTGACCTCTGATACAATGTCTCATTACCAGAAGACGAAGAGAGTGGAGGGGGAATAGACAATAAGAAGGTGGAAGAGAGAATCAATGACCACCATGGAGTAGCCCAACATGACCCACTTCTTCTCCGGTCTTCCCCTCGCCTCCACGTCATCAAACAATACGCAGTAACAAGTCTGACAAGTCCTGATGACATACAAGTGCCACGTGGCACTGCTCTCTCGTAAAGACAATGGAGAATCAGCAGTGCACAACATCGACATCAACCTCAGGTAAATACCCCATTCCTCGATCATCCACAAATCCCGATCTCCTCCTTGTCACGACCAATCACCCAATGTAGACAGTGTGGCCAATGCCACATCAGCGATGAAGACAGGTGGCATGCACCACACCAGCAGAGCCTGGCGCTCAACAGAGGAAACACCAGCATGTCGCCTCAGTCCCGTGTCGTCGTCCACAGTGCTAGCGTGCATCCAGCGTCAAGCCAGTGTCCAGCCAATGTCCAACCAGCGTCAAGCCACCGTCAAGGCAGCATAGCAAGATTGAATGTCAACTCCTTGGAGACCAAGCCTTATGTAATGTTTGACAAGGCTTACCAGGGTCAGGTCTCCCACCCACGGTGACTCAGACTGACTCACAACCAAGGGCCTGGATTGCGTACAGTTGCAGACTGCCACTTGGTCCTGATGCTGTCTTGGTACCTGCATACAAACAAGTGAGTGTGTCTGACCGTCGGCCTGGGGTTGGTCCGTCTTGACTTTGACCGTAGGGCCTCAGGCAGTTGACATAAGTCAACTGTCGGGCGCTCAGGCCCTGGGTTGTTTCCAAAGGGCCTTCTGCCCCTTTTTGTCTTCTCGGTCAGAAGATGGGGCCGCGACCTGTGGGCCTCTTTAGTCATTCAACGAGGCAAAATGAATGGGTTATTGCATTCCTGCCGGCCTAATTTTCGAGTTCCATCGTAGAAACATATTAATTTTCTCTTAACGCGCGTTCATAACCAGCAACAATATCATGAGCAGTAGGCAGTTCTTTCTTATTGAACCATCTAGCGTCATACGGAGGTTGAGACTTGAACTGTACCTTGTACTGCTTCTGAGGTCTTCCTCTGCCACCTGTAGAGAAGTAGCCATGTTCCAGAATCTTTCCAACCTCATATCCTCCATTCATGGAGGGTGGGAACATAGATGGCCCGTAAGGAAAGTTATCTCCTTCTACATATGGTAGTAGTTTAGACCGGTGGAAGACAGGATAGGTCCTTAGGTGTGGGGGTACATCTTTTCGATAGGACGGTCCATCTGCATCCCCAATCACCTTGAGACCTTCCCAGGGTCCATAGTAGACAGGCAACAGTTTTTTTAGATACATTTTCTTCTAGGGAAAACTCTTTAGATGTAACCTAGACAAGATCTCCTCCTTGAAACTGTGAAGCTTGCGATGTTTATTGGCCTGCTCAATCATCTGTAGTTGGGCTTTTTGTATGTTCTCCTTGACTTTTCTAACGTCTTCTTCATGCAAAACTGCAAATTCACGGGTTCATGGGGGTAGCCTTTGAACCTGGTCTCTAGTTAATGCATCAATAGGATGTTGAGGCTTCCAACCTTTATGTAGTGCATTAGGCTTTCTTCTTGTGACAATATGTACACTGTTATTATAGGCACTAACAATCTTTGGTAAGTTCTCGTCCCACTCTGTTTGATCGGGTCGGGCATACATGCCCAAAAGTTGCTAGCACAGACGTTTCACCTGTTCAGTTTGGCCATTCGTTTCAGGATGTCTACCTCACGACAAGGTCAACCCGGTGCCATAGACTTCTATCAACTTTTGCCACTGTAGGGGAGTGAACTGAACATCCCTGTCAGAAACGATGGTTTTTGGGAATCCATACTCAGAAACCCATCGCATACTTCTGGATGACCATTTCAGTTCTAGCTTCGGCTGGCGAAGGAATGAATATAGCATATTTTGAGAATCTATCTACAATGACTGTTACCTGATTGTTGCCATTTCGGCTCTTAGTGAGGCTCATAAAGTCAATTGAGATTGACTCACCTGGCTCACTTGGAATTGGTAGAGGTCTTAGTAGGCCCAATGGATTCTCATGAGAAGGCTTATTCCTCTGGCAAACAAGATAAAACTGCACATAGGTTAGCATATCTTTTTTCATTCCTTTCCATTCAAAACATTCTCTCACATCGGCATACGTTTTCTTAAAGCCAAAGTGTCCCTCAGCATCATTGCATTCCCCAATGATTGGACTTCTGATTTGCTTCTGATGAGGAATACACGGTCTGTATAAAGAAGAGTAGACCTTCAGTCATTCAATATTTAGGAAATAGTTCAGGGTTTTTTTGTAGGGTCACAATGATAGGACTCCAAATAGGATCATTCACATAACCCTTTCGTATTTGTTCTATAAGTTCGTTCCTGATGTCGACATAGGAGACAATGGTACCAAAGAAGTCTGCACGCCTGGACAAAGCATCCACAACAAAATTAGACTTTCCTTTGATTGTTTGATCGAGTCTTTATCCATTTCAGAGTGGAGTGATCTCGATAGAAAGAAGTAAAGTGCCTCCCTAACAAGTAGTGTTTCCAGGTGTCTAGTGCAGCAACCAAGGCATACAATTTCCTTCCGTAGGTGCAGTTAACCACTTTCTCTGACGGAAGTCTCCTGGACATAAACTCAATAGCTCCATATCCCATACCGTCATCCCGTTGTCGCACAACCCCAATCCCAAACTGACTTGCGCTCAGTTGTGTAAATGAAAGGGAGAGAAGCTATGTGACACCCGTGGCCGCGGCTGCGGGCAATTTGGTCGCCGCGGTCGAAAAAGTCGGCCTCGCCAGAGGCCCGATTCGTGGCCTGTTTTTTTGGATATTTTTTTTAGGGTAAAAAAATACGCAAGGGTTTTGCAAACCCCACAACCCCATATCTATATATTTTTTAATTTGACTTCATTTACGAATTTTAAAAAATAAAAAACGAAAATCAGTTTTAAAAAAAAAAATCGAAATAAATAAAAGAAAAGCAGTAATTTTTTTTTCCCCATTTTTTTCATGAACGATATGGTGTTAGAGTCCGGCCTTCGGGACATCCGTTAAAAATTAAAAGTTGGAACGATACGCAGAAGATTAGCATGGAAAAAAAAAAAAAAAAATGCACAGGGAGAACCTTCTTCTTCATTGCTGTTTTTTTTTTTCCTTCTTCTTCCTTGCTGTTTTTTTTTTCCCTTCATCTTCTTCTTCTTCTTCTCCTGCTTCGGCCAATTCTGCGGTGGTGGTCAGACACACACACACACACACACACACACACACACACACACACACACACACACACACACACAAGGTCATGCGGTGTATATTTCCATTTTCCATCGAGAGTACCATGAGGCCAGCTGTTCTCTCTCACTGTGTGTGTGCGTGTGTGTGTGTGTGAGTGTGTGAGAGAGAGAGGGGTTAAGTCTCCAACCTCGCGGCTGGCCTCATGGTACTTCCATAGATAGGATGAGCAAAATCTAACGAATCTTCTGCTAGAACATGGAACTATACACTGCGAGACTGTTTTGTTTGTTTGTTTTTGTAAGTGTGTTTGTGTGTGTGTGTGTGTGTGTGTGTGTGTGTGTATCCTCTTTCTTTCCTCCCTCAGCGTGTTTTCTAGTTGCCTGGTGTTTTCTTTCGAAATCTTGTCAGACAGTTCGAGTTCTACTTTCTTTTTTTTCCTTTCTTCTTCCTTTGCCTTTCTCTTCTGGTCCATCTTATCCAGATGTTTGACGACATAACGATGGAGGACTATTCACCTTTCCTTTATGAGTTTTTCAACTCGATTCCCGTTTTCGAGCATCTAAGCGGCAGTTTCAGTGACCTTCAGTTCATCTTCTGCAGCAAGCAGATTGAACTGTCCATGAACATGCGTTCAACCTCTGGTCCGGCTCCATGTATCTCGCTGAGCAACTGGCGGAGAAGGCCTATTAAAGTTTCCCGCCTCGCATCAATCTGACCACGGCTTCTTAAAGCACTAGTACCTCCGCCAGTGTTCGGAAAATAGGGAAAAGTGGACATTTTTCGAAACTCCTAAAATGTCGGAGGCTGGGCCCGACGACGGTTGCCATTGATAAATCTGATCGGCGGCCGTCATTTCGTTTCCGCCTCCGAAAAGTTCGGAGGCCCACCCGAGGCCCGCTATTTTCCCACGAGGCAAAGGTACTAGTGGTTTAAGACTCCCCCTTCTTCATCAGCAAAGACAGTGAGAGGGATATGAAAGAAGAAGAGGAATGAATCTCGTGAGGATGGAAGCACGGAGACACTTCCAGAGATAAGTCATAGTTCCCAGCATGTGATTGCCACACAATAAATAATTTCAAAAGACAGAAATAATTCCATGGCGACACTCAAATTTCAAAATAATTAGGAAGAAACAAATTCTCAATTTATTCCTATTTCTAGCTTTGCTGTTTGTTCTGTGTGATGACATCCTACAGAGAGTTCATGGGTACTGCAACCACAGCTAGTGTGATCAAGACACGACAACACAGGTGAGTATGCAAGACAACCACAAAACAGCCAAGACAAGTGAGTAGGTCAGCCAACGCAATCAACAACAATCGATTGTCAGCCTTCCTTCCTCTATGACTGTACCATCTGCAGAACCAATGCAGCCAGACACAAGGGCCGATACGTGACACTATAGCAAATCGTGAAGTTGCACGTCTGCCAGCACACAAGTATCAACACCTCACCCACAGCAGTGTGCCAAGCATGCCACGTGTCACCCCTGGAATGCCAATGCAGCACATGTGCCACGTCAGCATCAAGAGCCAGCTCGACTTTCTGGAGGGATGCCACGTTAGCAATGCTTGGACTGCCAACTCATCTAACACTGGTACACCACGTCAGATCGAAGGAACACTGCTGGAGCGTGGAGCGCCACATCAGCAGGCAAGTTGCAACACAGGTACGTGCCACATCAGACAATGCCCTCCCAGTAGTATAATGCCACGTCAACACCCCTGCACCATGCCACGTAGGCAACGTGCCACGTTAGCAATCCCAATGTCCACACTCTCTCTCTACCAGCGCCACATCAGCCTATTGCCAACGATGCTCTCGCCGGTATCCCGATGCCACGTCAGCAACAAAGCGCCACATAAGCAATGTCGCCGTCTTCTTCTTCAGAGTGTCCACATCATCATCTTCAAGGGAGGCTGCATGCACGTGTGGTACTCAATGTCTAGATGTGCGATATTAATCGCGCACGTTTATAAACGCGTTTCGTCCCTGACATGTGCGGCACCTCACTTACGTGTGCGCCACGTGGTGCCTGAGAGCAGATCGCGACGAAGGAGGTATGCTCCGATACAAAATTGTAATGAACCCAGACTGGAAGATACTCTTCAGATGTCGAAATGTAAGACAACTCAGATCTGGACAATGTCTCCAATAATCATGAATGCGACCTCTGATACAATGTCTTGTTACCAGATGGCGAAGAGAGTGGAGGGGGAATAAACAGTAAGAAGGTGGAAGAGATAATCAATGACCACCAGGAGAGTAGCCCAACATTACCCACTTCTTCTTCGGGCTTCCCCTCGCCTCCACGTCATCCAACAGTACCCAATAACAAGTTCGACAAGTCCTGATCACATAGAAGTGCCACGTGGCACTGCTCTCTCATGAAGACAATGGAGACAATCAGCAGCGCACAACATCGACGTAAACCTCAGGTAAGTACCCCGTTCCTCGATCATACACAGATCCTGATCTCCTCCTTGTCACGACCAATCACCCATGTAGACAGCGTGGCCAATGCGACATCAGCGATGAAGACAGGTGGCATCTGCCACATCAGCAATGAAGACAGGTGGCATGCGCCTCATCGGCAAAGGCTGGTGCTCAACAGAGAAAACGTCAGCACGCCTCAGTCCCGCATCGTCGTGCACAGTGCCAACGTGCAGCCAGCGTCCAGCCAGCGTCAGAGCAACATATCTACACTGAATGTTGAATCCCCGGAGACCAAGCCTTATGTAATGTTTGACGAGGCTGAGCAGCCTCAGGTCTCCCACCCACGGTGACTCGGATCGACTCACAGCCGAGGGCGTGGATTGCGTATAGTTGCAGACTTCCACTTGGTCCTGATGCTGTCTTGGTATCTGCATACAAACAAGTGAGTTTGTCTAACCGTCGGCCTGGGGTGGGTCTGTCTCGACGTTGACTGTAGGGCCTCAGGTAGTTGACCGAAGTCAATTGTCGGGCGCTCAAGCCTTGGGTTATTTCCAAAGGGCCTTCTGCCCCTTCGTCCTCTCGGTCAGAAGTTGGGGTCGCGGCCTGTGGGCCCCTTAGTCATTCAACGAGGCAAAATAAACGGGTTATTGCAGAGAGAGAGAGAGAGAGAGAGAGAGAGAGAGGTGGTGGGCGCCCACCGCCCACCTTCATGGATGTCTGCTGCCGCTTCGCACCGCCGCTACTTCCCGCCGGCGACGACCGTCCCCCTTCTCCAAAAAGTTTTGTGGGGGAAGGTGGCGGGGCGCGGATGGTTTCCCGAGTTGCGCGCCCCGTTCGTCATTTCTGCTGGGGTGGGGCCCCGCCATCTGAACAAAGCCCCCCCCAAAAAATAAATTTCCATGACCGCTGTTTAGTGCTGTGCGGGGCGCTACGGTGCACTTTGCGGTGTGAACGCGTGGGCAAACTGGCGCACTGTGGTGCGCCGCAACTATGTAAAAAACACAAAAAACAAAAAACGAAACTATCGATGATTCTGGGCAGATGCATTCCTGGAGGCACTACTGTGAGCACACCTCCGTCGTGGCTTTCCCGGACGTTCTTCCTTTCAACTCTGCAGTTTCCTTTTCTTTTTCTTTTTTTTCCTCTGATCGGGGCCCCCAAGGGTTTTGTTTTTGCCAACCCTCACGCAAACCCCCAAACTTTGTGGTTCAGGTCATTTTCCCTAATGGGACTACAACTTGGAAAGGTAGTGGTGGCCTAAGCTCTTCCTCTTTATTTCTAATACTTTTTAAGGTGGACAAGAAAAGGCATATGAGTGTAATGAACCCAGTTTGGCAGATAATCATCAGACGTCAAACCACAAGTAGTCTCATATCTGCACAAGTCTCCAGTTATCGTGAAGTGATATCCGAAACAGTATCTCGTTACCAATAGACAAAGAGAGTGGAGGGAGGATGGACAAGGAAGAAGGTGGAAGAAGTAATCAAAGACTACACGATAATAGTCCAATCAATCCCACTCCGTCGGGAGGTCTGATAAGTTCGGATCACACAGGAGTGCCACGTGATACCCTTATCTCGAGAAGACCATGAAGACAACAACATAATATAGTAACGACGCGAATCTCAAGTGAGTACCCGTTCCCAGTCAACGACAAATCCCGATCTCCCTCCTTGTTGCAACCACTCACCTCATGTAGACAGCGTGGCCTATGCCACGTCAGATGTAGAGACAGGCATGCGCCACATCATCAATGAAGATAGGTGGCAGTGCCACATCAGTAGGCAGGTGGCAGCGCCACATCCGCGATGTAGACCTGTGGCCTGCGCCACATCAGCAATGCAGACAAGTGGTATGCACCACATCAAGAGGGTAGACAAGTGGCAGCGCCACATCAGCAATGTAGACAAGTGGTATCGCCACATCAGCAATGCCTGGCGCACAGAACAGAAAGCGCCAGCATGCTGCCACAACCTCGCATCGTCGTCCACAGTGCATGTGCACAATCAGCGTCAAGCCAACGTCTTGCCAACGTCAATGCCAGCGTCCAGCCGCAGTCGAGCCGACGTACAAGTAGCATAGCAAGACTGAATGTTGACCACCTTGAGACCAGTCCATTTGTAATGCTTGACGAAGTTGTCCTCGGGTCCCCTCCTCACTGTCGTTTAGATTTAATCACAACCGAGGGTCTGAATTATGTACAGTTGTGGAATTCCTCTTGGACCTTATGTTGTCTGGGTACCTGCATACAAATGTGTGCGTCTGACTGGTGTCCTGCGCTGGGTACACTTTGACTTTGACTGTTGGGGTCTTCGACAGTCGACTTTTGTCAATTGTACCTCGCTCAGGCCATGAATCTTTAACTGGGGTCTTTTTCCCCGTTTTGGCCTGGGCCTAGGTGTGGCCTGGTGAGGCCCTCAGTTTCCACGAGGCATACAACATGGGTTATTGCATCCTTGTCGGCCCAATTTTCGAGTTCCATCGCAAAAAAGTAATCAATTTCCTTTTAACCCACGTTCATATGTAGCAACAATATCAAGAGAAGTAGGTAGGAGCTCTTTCTTACTAAACCATCTGGCTTTAGATGGAGGTTGAGACTTGGAACTTGCTGCTTCTGGGGTCTTCCTCTGCCACCTGTAGAAAAATAGCCATGTTCCAAAATTTTCTCAACTTCGTATCCTCCATTCATGGAGGGTGGAAACATAGATGGCCTCTTAGGAAAGTTATCTCCTTCTACAGACAGTAGCAGTTTAGACACGTGAAAGACAGACTAGGTGCTTAGGTGTGGGGGTATATATTTGATAGGAAGGTCCATTTGCATCTCCAATCACCTTGAGAACTTCCCAGGGACCATAGTAGACAGGCAACAGTTTTTGAGATATGTTTTCGTGCGCATCGGCTCCCGCCTTTTTTGCAAAGTGCGGGAGCCCTCCCTGCCATATCACGCAGGAGTTAAAAAAAAACAATCAAGAGACAACTCGGGAACGACGCAAAATAATCCCACGAACCGCGGGGATGATCGAGGTCGCGGTGTCCCTTTTCCACTCTAGCCGGTGCGCCAACTATACATCCCGCGGTCCCCTACGACAGGATCGGTTCCCGCGGGGCATGAACTTTCCCTCCCTAAGGGGCTATTACCACCCTTAGGGGTGTATCCCTACCGAGCTACCGACCCATGTGCGAAAGCTCTTAGATGCAATCGCAAAGGTAGTTCAGTCTAGGGCATTTGCTCGTTCGCTGTAGTATAGATACGCTTGGTTAAACGCCAAGTGGACCCGAGCATCGTCCGTTCTTAGGGCGCTGATCTCCTAGGTACGGAGCAAACGTCGGTTGACTAGGACTGTTTCAACCAAGCGTGAAACCCATCACTCAATCCTAGTCCTTGAACACATAGCCAAACGAAAGTAATAATAGCCGTACTCGGTTACTTTAGAAGAAGTCGACCGTAGCTGACAGAAATATATCCAATTTGCAATGATAACCGAAAGAATTCAAATCATTATTTGATACATCAAATAACACGACCGAAATAAAATCCGACCACCCCGGGTCGAATTCCACAAAACAATCATACAACGGTTAACAAAGAGTTGAGTTCAAGGTAACTTGGACGAAAAGAATCAGAAAAAATAAAGAACGAGAATCATTTGGACAGGTACAGGTAGATAAGGTCATTCAGGATAAAAAGGTAAATTCTCAAGAAAAAAAACTATGTCTGATTATCTTTATCCTCATTATGTTCACAAGTTTTCTTTCACAGTGTCTGTTGAATTTATTCATTCGGCGCTCTTCTGCGGATTCGACAAAAACGAAGCACTGCCCGTTACTGTTGTTACTCTCAGACGCCACAAGCGTTCGAACTAAAGCTCGAAAACTTTTAGTCTCTCAGTCATAGGTGAGGTCTGAATAAACTTTTGGCAAACGTGAGTCTTATCAAGTCCTTCAATGCAACGCAAGTGTCAGACAACGTTCGACATTGAAAAACCCCGACCAATACCCTTGTCAGGGTATTTGCCCTGACAACGTTTTCTTCCAAGGCAAATTCTTTGGACTTTACCCATACCATATCTCCTTCTTGGAACTGCGATGGGCGACGATGTTTGTTGGCCTGCCTAATCATTTGAAGTTTAGCTTCCTGGATATTCTCTTTTACCTTTTTAATATCTTCTTCATATAAAACTGCGAATTCACGGGTTCCTGGGGGTAACCTTGGAATCCGGTCCCTAGTTAAGG